TCGGGGGGATGATTGATCAAAACTGGAGCAGACAAAATTTGGAGCAGTTGTCCATGGCAGCCAATCAGCTTCTCTTTGCAGTTTGGTCAGGTAAGATTTGTAGGTGAGACAGAGAAGCGAATTGGTTGCAGTGCAAATCTGCTCCAGTTTTGATAAATTCCCCCCATTGTGTCCAAACGTTTGCAGATTTTCCTGAACAAGGACTGCCCTCGAATTTTAAACCCTGGAAGGTCCTCACCTGGATACTGTATAGCATCGGTCACTAAATGGCTGATCATGGTCCGGATACGCATTGAGTGGCGGATCTGTCCAGACTGTGATTGCTGACCTGCACTGGGTTATGGCTGGCTGACAGTGGATACAATGGCCTGGTGTTTCCAATGCCGGCCATGCCCAGCACATGCCCTCCCTCTGCTTCAGTCATTGTTGCTAGGACCGCTGGCTTCCTAGTAACTAATGACGTCAGGCAGGCAATGCCGGCTCCTACAAGTGATCTGGATGGCTGTACAGCCACACCGGACCTCCTTGTATTTTAAGTCACCACCCCTGCTGTAAAGGATAAAATGTGATTGACTGGCTGGTGGCCTCATGCAGATGTTAATTTACTCTTATTGCTCTTAGAATGATGATGATGATTGGTATCTGTCTAAATCTGGCAGACTGGGGCATCATTACGTTCAAATCTGCTGTGGCTGGAGAGTCACCCTGTACCAAAAAAGGGAAGGCTGAGGCAGTGTAATCTGCATGTGTGTATGACCACAGAGTGATAGGATCTGCTCGTGAGTCAGAAAAATAATTGTTGTCAGTCACCTATGGTCAAAGAACTCTCACCTTAGCTTAATCAATGTGGTGAAAATTCACTCTGCAAATAACACTCAGTCACATGCAAAGAAAATAATAATTTAAAAAAAGTGTATTTTTGCTTTCGCATGATTGGATGATGGAAGTCAGCAGTTCACCTCATTTACTAAGCTAAAATTCCCTTGCAAAGTGACCAAGTGCAGCTTGTTTTAAAGTTCTTTTACTGCATGTTCAGAATATGTTAATACTTTAATCTGCACTGTCTACGCGCAGGCTCACTATAAATAAAGTAACATGGTAACACGCCACGGTTCAGTCAAAAATTGTGAGTCATTTGTTATATTTGCACTGTGCTATAGGCCTACAAGGACGTTCTTATGATCAATGACATTGTGTAGGTTGACCCTAACAAAAAAACAAACAAACACTGTGAAGAGTGGATAAAAGCAGGCAAGAAAACCATGACAAAAACGTTGAATTTACAGTATTTGTGGTAATTACCAAATATCGCACCATGGCAAGAGTGAGTATAGAAACCAGACCCTAGCTGGCCATCCTGCATCAGCAATGTACCTTAAAGCAGATATAACGGCAGACAGGTGTCTCTGGATGCGCTCTCAAAGCTCTTCTGCAGAAGCACAAACAAAGTCAAAGTTAAGAACCAGAAGCAAAGAAATATATAATGTTTACTTCCATCCAATACCTAAAGATGTCCATCAATGCCATCAGCTTAGAACTGGCAGACATCACTGGGATTGCTGGAACACCCATCTAAAGTCCAGAATATTTTAAGTACCACAACCATTTGGACAGTGCTTTATTTTTTACGTTTGCCGTCACATTTGTACCCCGAGTAGCTGGAAACTAGCTCTGTTAACATTTCTTAGGTATGCTGTGTGTTGAATGGGAACATATAACAAACATATGAGGGGTGTGGAGGTTCAAGCTTGACTGC